GAACTTTTCTGAGAAATTCAGGTAAAACATTAGCACATAGAAAAGTATGTTTGTGAATAAAAAAAATTCAATTACATTTCTCCTAAGGATGAGAGGAGCGTCGTCATCATCATCATCATCATCATCATCCTTCAAAATGGGAGATGCTGAAGTTGGCCGTTTGCAGCTTGAGGCACCTTTAGCTGTAGTAGCCTTGGCAGGTGGAGAAGTAGATGGAAGAATAAGACGTTTAGCGCAGCACGTGAGGAAGGATTCCTGATGGATACAGGGGCAGCCAGAATGGGAGAAATAGAAGACGTGTCTGGTTTATCTAGTAGATAGAAAGCACGGTTGGCATCAGTTCCGAACAAATAGCACTTTACAGACGGCCAGAGTTCGTAAAAAAGGAAATGTGTGATAGCGGTAGAATTGAAAGGGGCTAAAAAGAAACCTTCGGCCAAAAGGTTATTATGGGTGTCAATGGCTTGCGCCTCAGTTTTATTGATAATATGGAAACGCTCTATCAAATTCTTAGAATAATAAGGAGGAATAGGCCACGTTTGACCAAAACCAAGTTGGGGAGCAAAAAATTGGGAGCACATATTTCAACCCCTGCTTTAGCATTTGTTCTTGTGACATGTCATGGAACAGTTCTCTCCCAACCAGAAACTGAACCCAAATGGGCAAGGAAGTGATCACTTCAGTTAAGGTAGAAGAAGGTCGCACATAAAGAGGGATTTGATGAGGAGAGAAAGGGAAAAAAGATGGCATTGAATTCAGAGTATAAAAGAATGTGAAAACGTCCTTGTTGGACATGTTTACAGGGCTCAATTGATGAATGAATACCACAGAATGAGCACAAATTTAAAGACCTGCCACGTGCTAATTCATATGATAGAGGTAGATAACTCAATGAGGGTTTCAGGCTGGGGACACAAAGAACATATTTACAGAGCCGACCTGAAGGAAGACAGGACGCTCAGCATGAGTAGGCTCAGAATTGGAAGCAGTGTAAAGGCCTTGCATGTTTAAGGAAGATTCGGAAGTTTTCTTGTCAAATTGTGGGGCAATACTGGAAATCAAATACTGGAAATTTTCGAAACTGAAAAAANGCGTGTCTTTTAGGTTTATAAGGGTCCGTAACGTTGCACATTTTCAGACTATAGAAGGAAATAATTATTGAAATTCTTGGGAATTTCAAATGTTGCCTGGAAAATACAAAGTGAATATGACAAAAATTAATACTTGGTATTAATTCTGCCATATTGGAGGGTAATTGTTAACATACTAAAAATGCAGCCCAAGTTAAATAGCCAAAAAGAGTGAAGCTCAATTGGAGAGTTCAGGATAAAGGCTCAAATAAGATTATTAATGAATGCAGTGGAAGCCCACGAACGCACAACATCATGCCCAAACTTGCAAGACACTCAGAATCTGAGAGAAGTGCCTTACGGTCGCCCAGAGCGATGACCCCGTTCTCGCCCAAACCTTTGAATTGCCTAGGATTTTAGCGAACGTAAGATATTATGGTTATCCAAAATAGCAGTTATCGAACAATCTTATCACATTCCACGATTCAAGGAGCCCAGTTGAAGATGGTTGAACGATAAAGAGTAGTAACAGCAGTTAGAGATGACAGTTTCACGACAAGTTAACCACTATGAAGAAAGTGGGTATTTATAGAGCAATCAAGCAGTTTTCCAGCGATTTGTCACGAAGAAATCATCAAGGGAATATAAAAAGAAAGAGAAAACATAAAGAAAAGACCCCGAATCAAATACTCTCAAACACTTTCAATTTTTTAGATTAACTTTAATTATCCATTTTCAGTATTAGTGTCCTTGCGACCCTTGGAAGCATTCTGTTTATTTTCAATTGTAATTCTCATCAATAAAGCACACTTTTTTGGAACTTTGTATCTAGAGGTTTGTCCAACAATTTCTAAGTTTTAATTTAAAACATCTCTTTTTAGTACTCGTGTACTTGCGCCGCTTGGAGACATTCTGTTTATTTTCAATTGTAACTTTCATCAATAAAACACCGATTTTTGGGACTTTGTCTGAAGAGATTTGTCTCTTACACAATCGTCTGAATCTTTTTTAATTGTTAGCGACTACCTGCGCAAAACAAAAAAATGGAGACTGGCACAATATGCCAATAAGCATGCGTCATGGATTATCCAGTGTGGTTGGAGTACTTTGCTGATTGCGGTTGTAGGTAAAGGGGACAAGTTGACATCCTTTTTCTTTCCTTATTTTTGTGTTTTTCTCATTGTTTATAAATACACGTCTTTTCTTTTAAAAATTGTTGATTAATGAAATACTAAAGATCGATGAAAATAACCTTCACTAGTTATCACATTCATGCGGGTGACAATTCAATAAAATATTCAACATTTTCCCATCCATTTGGGACTATCGTGCATTAAAATTTTGTTTGAGGACCTAAATGTTAAACACATTTTGGAGAAAAAAATGAATTTTTGAATAGCGATTTTTCGAAAATGTATGGTTAAAAAGTTAGAAAAATTTTGAATTTATATGTAAAATTATTTCATTAAAGGATGTATGGTTTAAAATGAGGTTTAAAAAATGAATTTTTCATAAAATAGGGCTAAAAGGGACATACGTGCCATCAAGTGCTATAGTTCGGGGACCGGTGGTACAAATTATCCTTTTTATTTCTATGAAAGCTTGAAGAACGGAGCACCGAAGACAGCTTCAGCCACATATCCGTCTATGCATTTGACCACGTCACAACAAGCGTGCGCATGGTACACGTGGCCTCATCTTAGACAATCCAGGCCCATCCCCAAATTCTCATCTAACGGTGTGCATTTCAGCTTCCATCACCAATTAGGGTTTCTTTTTCGCACGCAATTGCATATATAAACCACCCAGTTTCTTTATTTGTCGAGTGCAGTGCAGTTATCCCTGCCCTCATAAAGAAAAAAAATATTTCAGAAAATTTTCAGCTGGCTTTTATCCTTCAATTTCCTCAATTTTTCCAAAGAAAACCCATAAAATCCTTAATTTTTCCTTTACCATTCTGCTTCTCTCGAGGTTTCATTTTTAGTAAAACCAAATCAGAGAGAGGACAGATTTTTTTTCCCGAAAAAGTAATTTTTTGTTGAAAAATTAGGGTTAAGAAGAAATGGCGCAGATTCAAGTGCAACACCAGAATGTGGCGGCGACTAATGGGGCTAATGTAGTGGCTGCGCCGGCGCAGGCGCCGAGTGGGGGAACGAGTCAGTTTCCATCGACGTCGTTGTACGTTGGGGATTTAGATTTCAATGTGACTGACTCTCAGCTATACGATCTGTTCAACCAGGTTGGTCAGGTTGTTTCTGTTCGGGTTTGTCGGGATCTTGGTACTCGTCGTAGCCTCGGCTATGGTTACGTTAACTATAACAGCCCACATGATGGTTAGTCCTCGTTTACTTACAGATTTTTTTATGCTTGAAACTTATTAATACAATTGGTTTGTTTATGCATCTTGTGTTGAAATATATGTGATGCATAGTATATACTTACTGATATTTACTTTGCCGCTCTGTTATTGGAAGATAAAACTGGTAAATCTTTCGGTTTTGTTTATGTAACCTGGTTGTAGTTTTCAAGTGCCGTGTTGAATAGGAATTGGTGCCTCTCTGAAGCACATTTCTCTTCAAGTACATTTTATGCAAGTATTGTTGTAGCAAACAGTTTTTGGAGTCTTTCTGATTAATGCTAGTTTTTGGGTTATTTGTAAAGGAAGAATGAAATTACAATGAATTGGAGACTTCATTCCATAAACAGCTGAATTAAAATTGATGCTGGAAATTATTTACATTGCGCAGAAAATTTTGTTTACGAGTTTGGGTGATCTATTTAAAAAGGGAAAGAGCAAAAAAATGTCAACCTTTATTAGACTTCTGGATGGTTTCATCTGTTTTCGTGTTTAGAGATTGTTTTAGTTATTTCAGCAGTTGCTTGTGTGTCAACTGATGAGAATCAAAATTATATTGTTCGTTTGTCCTAAGTGTTTGTACACACTGAAATTTGCAAAGAAATTATTTCATGAGATACTTGGACAATGCTTTGCACCTCCGCTGGTTTTCCCTTTTATGCTGAGAAAAGAGAAAGACTTAATTCTTGCTGTATTTCATATCTTTCATGTATACTTGTCTGCAGCGGCAAGGGCAATTGAAGTGTTGAACTTCACTCCTCTCAATAACAAGTCGATTAGAATCATGCACTCTCATCGGGACCCCAGTATACGCAAAAGTGGAACTGCGAATATATTTATAAAGGTATTAGCTCACCTTGGACCTTTTTTCATTTCATCTTTATGCCTTCTCAATTCGTATGTTTGTTCATGTGAGTTATGCCCTTCTCTACTTGATAGCTTGTTACCCTGAACTTGATATATCATGTGCATTCACCATTATGGTCACCATTGTTTTCTTCATTGCTACAGTCTACATTTTTCTTGTCAATACTCATTCTTGCTGAATTTTTAGTTAACATACTGGGCACTATGTTGTCCATGTGGATTAGTAGTACTTAATCTTGGGATTTAACAGATGTTACATTGATTTTTAGATGCTTGACATTTCGATAGAAAATGATGTTGACAAAAACTGATACTTCAATCACTGGCGCAGTCCAGATTTCTTTTAAGAAAAATCTGAAGGAAATACCTTCAAATTGGAAGAAATAGATTTGATAAAATCTGATAATTTTCTTGATAGATTTTCTGCCCCCTTTTCAAGTTAAGTGGACTCTTTTATACCAAATTGTAACACTTGATGTATACAATTAAAACTAAGCTGAGAGTTTTTGGCCCATATTTTCAAGATTGTGCTTACAGCCCCACTGAGGATGTCAAGGAAAGCTTGATCGTGTCATTGCTGTTGCCATAAAGCTATTTATGTGGATTGACCAATAATTTAATATTTTGTCACTGTTAATCTTGAGTTTGTGCCTCTGTGTTTACGTGTTTATTTATTTTCTCCTCCAGAATTTGGACAAGTCTATTGATCACAAAGCATTACATGACACTTTTTCAAGCTTTGGGAACATTCTTTCATGCAAGATAGCTACAGATCCTAATGGCCAGTCCAAGGGCTATGGGTTTGTACAATTCGATAATGAAGAATCGGCAAAAAGTGCTATAGATAAGTTAAATGGCATGCTCATGAATGATAAGCAAGTGTATGTTGGGCATTTCCTTCGTAAGCAGGAGAGAGAATCAGTTTTGAATAAGACGAAATTCAACAATGTTTATGTAAAAAATCTAGCCGAGTCTACTACAGATGATGATTTGAAGAACATTTTTGGTGAACATGGAACAATTACTAGTGCTGTAGTCATGAGGGATGCCGATGGCAAGTCAAAAGGTTTTGGGTTTGTCAATTTTGAGAATGCAGATGATGCTGCTAAAGCTGTTGAAGCACTAGATGGAAAGAAATTTGATGAAAAGGAGTGGTATGTTGGGAAAGCCCAGAAGAAATCTGAGAGAGAGCAGGAACTGAAAAGTCAATTTGAGCAGAGTGCAAAGGAATCAGTTGATAAATACCAAGGAGTGAACTTATACATAAAAAATTTGGATGACAGCATTGATGACAGCAAACTCCAGGAAATGTTTTCAGGGTTTGGTACAATTACTTCATGCAAGGTATGTTGATATGTGCTCCTCGAAGGCAAGGCATTGCAAGTCAAGTTTTCCATTATTTCTTTATTTATTTCTCTTTATCATGATACTTATGGACATATGTATTATATATTGATTTCTGTTACTTCTTGTGCTGCAGGTTATGCAAGATCCTGGTGGTATAAGCAGAGGATCTGGATTCGTTGCCTTTTCAACTCCTGAAGAAGCTTCTCGTGCAGTAAGTTGACGCTGTTGGTGATGCTATTTCTGGTGACATTTATAATTATAAAATTGATCATTTTTTTCTATTTTTTATTTTCTTGTGTAGCTTTCTGAGATGAATGGCAAAATGGTGATCAGTAAGCCACTCTATGTTGCACTTGCACAGCGAAAAGAAGACAGAAGGGCAAGATTACAGGTAAATGTTGTTTGAGAGCATCTATATTGTCACTAGAAATGTGTAATGAGAGAAGTACGCTATGATAGATCTGTTGGCAATATGATAGTTTTTGATTAATGTCTGTCTGTATGTGCGAGAGTATTTTTGTTTTTTATTTTCAGCTAGAGGAGAACCTGAGATAATATATAGTCCAAGAGTTATCTAAGTTGTTTGATTTTGTTCTTTTGCTCATTGAATTGGTTTAATGATAGTTAGTACTACTCTCTATAACTTATGATTTCTATAAAGGAAGTGTCTATAATTATCTGGCTTCATAAATCATATCCCAGCTGTATTACACTGTTGGTGGATAGAGCTACATTTCCTTCTATTCTACAAAAAAACATTGTACCAAAAATTTTTTATTATCGTTTTTCTCAATTGCATAGGTGCAGTTCTCGCAAATGAGACCTGTTGCAATGCCACAATCAATTGCTCCTCGTATGGCAGTGTATCCTCCTGGTGGCCCTGGTATTGGACAACAACTATTTTATGGGCAAGCTCCCCCTGCCCTAATTCCCCAGGTAAATCCTCTTCATTGTGTTGCACTTCTATCAATTTCTGTTCTCCCTGGAAACTGCGTGTTCCTCCTATAAACTGGTTTGTTACTTTCTTTGACGTGCAAACCAACTCCATTTCCACTTCTTTAATCCTTTGTCATGGATACAAATGTGGGTAATGTTCTACATTGATCCACTCGAAAATTCATGTATTTTCCATAGTTTTTCCTTGAATGTTGTCTTATTGTCTGGTAGACTTGAAATATGACAGCATTCTCGAGATATGTGTTGAATACCATGAAATGGATTATATTTATGATACACGTTTGGCTTTGGAAGGTTGTACATAACTTGACCTTGAAACTTTCTTAGGCTGGATTTGGTTATCAGCAGCAGCTTGTTCCCGGCATGCGTCCTGGTGGAGCTCCTATGCCAAATTTTTTTGTGCCGATGGTCCAACATGGTCAGCGCCCTGGTGATAGGCGAGGAGCTGGCCCTGGGCACCAAACTCAGCAATCCATGCCAATGATTCAACAACAGGTCTGTATATAATTTTGTTGATCTTATGCTGTGTTAATTTACTATAGAAGCACATGCTTATTATTTTCATTTCAGATGCTTCCGAGGGGGAGAATGTATCGTTATCCTCCTGGTCGGAATGTGCTAGAGGGTCCAATTCCTGGAGTTGCCGGAGGTATGGTTTCTGCACCATATGACGTGGGTAGCATGCTTCCTCGAGATGCTACAATATCACAGCCTATGCCAACCACTGCTCTGGCTTCAGCCCTTGCAAATGCCACACCTGAACAGCAGAGAACGGTAAGCAGATTACACAATGCATCATTTGGATTTATTACCTGGCTGTGCATTATTTGTGTAACTTGTTTGATGTAATTTTTATTTGATTTCAGATGTTGGGTGAAAACTTGTACCCTCTAGTTGATCAGTTGGAGCATGAGCATGCGGCAAAAGTTACAGGCATGCTTCTCGAAATGGACCAGACGGAAGTTCTGCATTTACTTGAATCACCAGATGCTTTGAAGGCAAAAGTTGCCGAGGCTATGGAGGTTTTGAGAAATGTTCAGTCAAACAGCCCAGCCGAGCAACTTGCTTCACTATCCCTGAATGACAACCTCGTTTCTTGAGGTTTGTCTTCCATGGTTGCCAGATGCTTCAGTGCCAATCTTAATCTCTACTGAATTGGCATCTATGTTTTCATAGCGAGGGCACAGGACATACTAGGATGATTATTTATTTTGGATAGTATTTAGGATTTTGAATTTGATTTATTATCTCTTGGTTGCCAAAATTATCTTTTGGATTTTTGAAGTTTTCCTGTATTTCTATGTTATGGTGTTGCAATACAATTGTGGACTTGGTTTCGTATTATCCACCCCCCCCCCCCCCCCCTCTCTCTCTCTCTCTTACACGCTGGCATGCACAGATATATTATTTCTTCTCCTCCCCTTATTTTTCCATTTTCCTCAAGTAAAGTTGGTGGGTAGATTATTAGTTGTGTTCCAAATGCATTTGTCATTGCGATAGGTTGCATGAGAGAGTGCTTTTGCACCTAGGTCCCTGTGGCCCACACACTTTACTGCTGTGAATGTGCAAAGGTGAACTCATTTAGATTTTTTAATTCGTATTTTTCTCAATGACATGTCATGAATATGATGTATGCATATTTTAAATGATTTTAATCTTTATTCACATTATTAATATTATTATGCTATTAAGGGCCTCTAAGGTGCACATTTGAATAATGATAAACATGTATGTTGTTGGATAAGACTTGGATAGTACAAATGATAGGATTTTAGCGTGTTCATCTGCGTCTCTGGATTTTGCAAAATAATTGCTCTCTCGATGTAGGAACATTTGGATAAGAAATGAGGTGTATTGGCATTGTGTATGTTCATTTAGAGAGAAATAAAGTGTGATTTGTTTCCTCTCAAATAAATATTGGACTTGCAGTGAAGTGTTCTAGCATCTATAAAATTAGTTGGTTTTAGTTTCATTATGAATGCAAGGCAGTGCCACTGTCATTGAAGCACCTTCTGGCTTGAATCCGTCTGTTGAGTTGGCTGCATCGGTGTTATTTTTAGTCACCTTTTGGATTGTATCTGTCTTGAATTTGTGTGTTGTGGGCTACTTTTGTGCAGTTGGCCCTCTCGAGACAGACAATTTGTGGTGCCTGAAATTGCCAACTCGCTCATTCTATTTTAGAGGCTCAAGGAATCTTCTCTCTTACCTTAATTTGGGCATTACTATGTATTTTTCTCATACAAGCAAGCAACCTATCCCATCTATTCTATCATTGAAAAACCAATATTTTGTCAATGCTTGAAGATGTTGAGTTTCAAGAATGAGATGGATACATTAATTTTCTCAAATTTACCTATTTTAGTCCCTTAATAGTTATTGGTTTTTGAGTTCAGACTAGTACTTGTGAGATTTGAGTTTTAAGTATGAGAGTTTAACGAGCCTCTTTCTTGATATACAATTTTGTATCATATTTTTGTTAGACAAATAGACTATAGTTTTAAAAAAAAAAAAGGAAAAACCAGTGAACTCAAGCCATAAGAAGGAAAAGTCTAATTGTACATAATTTGACCACATAATGGTGTCCATAGTGTGATGTGAACAAGATCTGATTGTTAATGTGAAAGTGTGATATTTGAATTAAAGGTTGGATCCAGTGTCACATGTAATTATGAACATCATTATGTACAAAATTATGTACGTATAGTACTTCCCCCATAAGAAATGCTCAATGCCACACCAAATATAATTTAAAAGGCTGACCTTATGACATTAATGACAAAGTGAGTCATATATTTAAGTAAGTATAAACATATCAATCATTAATATGTTTTACTAAATCTTTGTAGCTTTTCTTGTCAAATAAAAAATCTTGACACCTCCCTAGAAATTATAAAATGTGCGAAAGCATGATAAACATGAACAAACGATATATACCCACCAACAAAAAATTAAGAAAAACCTATTTGTACTATTATGAGATTCAATTGCCTAAAAAGAACAATAAATCATTCTAGTTATTAAAGATTTTTAATCAAAATACACCGTTCTGAAAATGTTATCTAATTGGGTAATAGTCTTCTATATTAACATATTTTATTCCACCTGAAGTGGGAAAACAAGAATATCGAGAATTCAAAGAAATTGAATTTATTTCAATTTTATGTTTTGACTCAATTCAGTAATTTAATTTTAATAATATTAATTTATAAATAAATATTTTTTTAAGAAATATTATTTCTAGTGATAAAATTAAATATAGAGTAAGTTACGTATTTTTATAATAACATCTATTTCATGGTCAATAAATATTTTTTAACTTATAAGTATAATTAATAAAAGAAACATACAAAATTAAATTTTAATTACTTTTAAGATTTTCAATAGTTTTTTATTTTTTTGTCCCTCGTCATATTTTATATGTATGGTTAGTTTCATTATATAATTTTTTTGCTCATGATAAGTTTACGAACATGGATATGCTTTATGAAGTGAAGATGTTATAACATCAATTAATATAATTCTATCCTCTCATTTGAGTTTTAATTCTTTGGACTACTACAGGAAAAATAAGGTTGTTCATTGTCTTTCAC